ATCTGCATTAATCACCTTACTTAAGTGACAAACAAGTATCAATCCTGTGTTAGCACGGCTTTGTTTGTGGTCAGACCTCGGCTGACCTTGTAGCAACAAATCAATTGTAGAAAAAAAAATACACTTCAGATGTGAGAAGGTCGTGATTTCTATTGAGGAAGTTAACTCAAACACAACTAAGTATCAAGAACTCCACAAATTCACATTTAATGATTATGCCTGTGCGTTCATTCTAAAATAGTGTCATCAGCTGCTCAGTTGTTGCCTTAAACCTGTTGGAAGACAAAGTGGTAAGTGCGTGAGACATTTGATAAGATTAAAGCATAATCCTTTTAGTGGCAAACAACTAATTTGGCTAATAATTCGGCATTACCTCCTGACTCCTCATAGCCATAAAGCCATGGATTTTAACACCCAGCCAGCATGGGACTGTTGTGAGGGAGGCTTTGTGTGTCTGGTGAGGGCAGAAAAGTATCTTACATTTGATCTTACAACTTGATCTTGTTTTTAATAAAAGTTGACAATAGTGAAAAAGAGTGAGTGAATGAAAATATACCAAGAGTGTTGTAGTTTAGGAGAAAAGAAGCAACAACCCAATTCATCCTCATCATATTTCTCACTCAACCTGAAGTTACACAGAAATGATTCAATGCTGTTTGTTGAACTGCCAAGATTAATAATTGAAGTTTCCAGTTTCCCGCCTTAACACTCACTTTAATGATTTGTGGCACAGCAAAAGGGGAAACCACTTGTTGGTGTTATGCCTTGTGAATTTTAAAACAAACTCATCTCCTTGTGCTGTAATGTGATTCAACTGAAGCTCGTTCCAGATTCAGAATGTAAATACTGCAGATTTTAAAAGCACACATTATGAATCCGCCTCCTTTGCTGGATAAGTGTTTAAAAAGTTTTTTTTTTTTTGTTCATGGTGTCTGGAATTAGTAACAAGAATAGAAACATGATGTGAAATTTATATGACCAAAAAGGAATCCAATCTGAATCCTAGTGCTGTGTTGTTGTGAACTTCTGTGTTAGGCTCAGATTGGCCATAAAAAAAAACAAGTAGGGTGCCATAGGATGATTCACAGGTGTGCTCTGTACCAGAGGAACTTAAGCTAAAGATTTATGATCTCCTTTTTGTTCATGTCACTAAATCCAGGACAATATGTCTTGGACACTCGAGGGATTCTGTACAAAAAAACAAAACAAATCAATTGTACATTTTCCCTGTGTTTTCCACATTTGATCAAATGATCCAAAATTATGTAGCACATGGGGAAGATTTGACTTTACATGTTCCAAAACCACGTTTCCCATAGGCAAACAAATTTCATTTCATTTTGATTTGTTCTGATCATGGGTATGTTCAAAGTTTTCCAATAACAACAGAAAACAATTTACAATTTTGACACATTTCATGTCCGCAAAAGGAGCATGGAGAATAAAAAGCTTATTTTGCCTCCCACTTCCTCACATCACAAATGAACAAGCAAAAGATGGTCAAACCTTTATTACAGTAACATAAAAAGAAAATCAAATTCAGACTATAATAACAATAATTGATTTCTGTATATTATTCATACTGCCATTCAAATTTCTCCTAACTCACACCAGAGGATTACACTTCTGCTTCTTGATGGTACTGATGCTTATTCAGTTTCCTTCTATTCCTCATCCTTTGAGATCAACACAAACAACTTTAGCAGATTTTCTGGTTATGCACTGCTCTTTGCCCTTTACAGAAACACGAGTGTCTGTAATTCTACTAAATCTGTCAGTTTCAATCATTTTACTGTAAAATTTCACCTCAACATAAACCTTTATTTATCCCCCACCGGAGAAATTTACAGTGTAATAGCAGCAAAGAGCAAGGATAGCCTATATAAAGAGCACACAGTGCACAATAAAAATATAAAGTCAAAATTACAGAGGAGCCAAAAAACAGAGAGCTGCAGTTACATGTTTATTTGATGTCTGCTTAATGCTGCTCCATGTCTGTCCTGCATGTTTCAGGTATTTCACACCTGTAGCTACTTACCTGCTCACTACAATTCTGGCATGTTATTCTATTGGAAGTTTTTCGTAATGTTTTATTGTATCTGTGTCGCTTGCACCCTAATTATTGCTAATTATTGAAGCTGATAAAACAGCATTTTTTCATTTCCAATGATAAAGATTCACAGTGACTGATACGTGGAACTGTTCTTAAAAGTAGGATTAATTTTTTTGGTGAAAAAACCCCAAACTTTAACATGCACGAGAAAAATTTAGAAAATAACTTAAAAGTGAACACCATGGGTTCCATGTATTTCACATGTGGTCAAATGCGTTGTTGCACATGTTACATTCAGGAGGTTTTAATGTAAGGAGAGGAGGCAGACTGCCTGATGAACCTGGTAAACACAAACTTGTATTGATCATTATCTTGTTAATCATGTGGCTGAAGAGACTGTTTGTGAGATCTTAAACACCCAGTTTGGGAGCTTTAAGAATCCATTCTGGGGGAAGTTGAGGACATGGAAATCTCATAGGCCACGTTCAAAGCCTTCATTGTCATGTGTGTTGCTCTTCCTTTTTTAAGAGTTAAAACTGGAAAACTGTCTTAAAAAGGAACTCCTTTTTAAGACAGTTTTCCAGTTTTAACCCTTAAAAAATATATTTTACGCTCCAACTCTCACCTCTGCTCGTGAGCTTTGTGTGGTGAATGAGGGAATGAGACTGCAGACACAAGGGGCCATAAAGTGACTTGGTTCACCCTTAAAGATATCTTTGTAGATAGAGAGAGATAGCTGCTCCCTCACATCAAAAGGGGTCAGTTGAGTCTGTTTGGCCATCTGATCAGGATGCCTCTGGGCGCCTTCCTTTGAAGGTTTTTTGGGCATGTTCAACTTTTAAAAGACCCTGGGGTAGACCCAGAAAACGCCGGAGAGACTATACATTTCATCTGGCTTGGGAACACTTCATGATTCCTGAAGAGGAGATGCAAAGTGTTGCAGTGGCAACAGCTGGTCATCCTCGCTTATCGTGTTTCTACTGTCACCGAGTCCCAGAGAATCCTGCAGAAATGGGATGTATGGATGAATAATTGGTAAAACAAAACTAGGAATTGGATAATGCTTAAAGTATAGCATACGGCTGCTCTAACAGTATAACCGTGAAGATAACAGTCTCTTGAACATCCCTGGTTTGTGTGTCTGTTCATTGCGTGAGTTTTAACACCTCCCTATATGTGCTCTCTCGGGGGCTCAGACGGATTCAACCCAAAGTTTTGTGACGTGTCGAGAGCCCTTTGAAGGCACAGAGACGCCTTTTAATCAGCAGAAGTTAATCACCCATATGGTTGACAAAGGTCTGGTTGACTCATGCTCTTTTTTCATCACTATGGGAGCTGTTGCTAGTGTATGTGTGTGTGTGTGTGTGTGTGTGTGTGTGTGTGTGTGTGTCTGAGGAGGGAGGAGGAATCCTTCAGTGTAGTTTATTCTCCTGACTTCACTATTCTTGTCACATCCCCGGCTTTTATTTAAGAACTGTTGTTTAAAAAAAAAGGTAAATGAAGTGCATTTGATTGTTTACTACCATGCAGACGATCTTGATTATATAGGGAGGTGTGTCCTCTCACACAGAGCTGCAATAATATTCTTTGTGTAATTAACATTGTGGGTGTCCGAAACACAACATTAATCAAATGACTCTTGTCTGGCGTTGTGGGTTTTTCTTTACCACGTTACACTGAAATTCCTCCTCTGCCATTCCAACAGATGAGACAGGGTCCACAGACAGAACGAGAGAGTTCTGCGGTTTCTTTATTATGCAGATTATTTACTGGCAATGTTTCCATAGACAGATGTGATTGAAGGGGAAAAGTGGTAAAATAATAAATATTTATGGATAATAGAACAGGTTTCATTAATCCTAAATGTCAGGGTAAGGACTGGGTGATTAAAGGTGTATATGAATAACAAAAGCAATCAACAGGCTTGTAAAAACAGCATTATTAGATGCTTTTCCAATCTCCTGTTATGTTTCCTACTGCTTTCATCCGATGATGGAGAATAATTATGAACATTAGTTAAGATATGTTAAAGAATAAGCATCAGTATACTCTGAGTGTTTTCATTGTATACTTTATACTCCAAAAGGGATTCATGATTTACCTCATTAAACTAACATTTCCCCAAACTACTAAGGTGATAACTTTAAAAAATGACACATTATGTATGACGAGGTAATATTCAAAAATAGTTCACACTTCACTCCAACTATAACATAAAACTTCTGCTAACACATTAATGCATGGAAAGTGTTCATTCTGCCTCACTAGTGCTTTATTTTTTAAACACACAAGTACATTGCTGCTGCATTTGCTGCTCCTGTTTTGACCTGTAAGAACAATTTTGAATACATGACTTTTATAACTGAATATTTTTACATCTTGATGCTTTAACAGAAAGTTGAAAGCAAAAAAAAAAAACTCGGAGGAGCAGAAGAAGCCTGCAGCAAACCAAAAGTATGAGACACCACTAGTCCTCATGAAAGTTTCTTATGTTGGAGGATTTGTTAACTTTTCAACAATTATACTTTCATTGACATTTGTGTTTTTTCCTTGTAACAGTTTGTCTTTGTCTTTTTACTCCCCAGCCGTCTGCACTGAAAACACACGTTCAATCCTTCAGGCTTTCAGTAGGTAGACTTCTACTTCTTTTTGTTTTCATGTGGTCTTATTAAATCACTCCGATAAGTGATTTAATTAATTAATCACCATGTGCAGATTTATTCTAAGTAACACTGTTATCCGCCGGATTTAAGTTCCACAATCAGTTTATCTAATAAACCATTTGCACCCACAAACAGACAACAGTTTGCTGCAGAGCCAAATGTTGCCCTGTTGGTTGACCACTGGGAGGCCTTTCATTGGTCGATGGGGGCAGCCTATTTGCATAGAGAGGGGCTTAAAGTCCCACAGCAAAGTGAGTTTGACACAGTTGTGATTCGGCCTGACATTGTACGAGAGGTGTATTGACTGCATCATTTATGACATTTTTGTGCAGCATTTTCTAACCCCTCGAAATGGGATTTGGCAGGATTTCAGGAGTTGCACTGTGCCTTGTGTTTGTTTTATTTTGCACAGTTCAGTGTACAACTACAAGGTATTTCACGTTTGAAGAGGATGCGCCGGGGACAGAGATAGGAAACTTGTCCCAAGATTTAAAGATTGATCCAGCTGATGACCCTGACACTTCGTTCCGCTTCATGCAAGAAAACAACTCCTCTTTGATTCAAATGCGGGAGACTGACGGACTTCTGAGTGTTGCAGAAATTATCGATCGGGAGCAGCTTTGCCCCAGGTCTCCGCGTTGCTTCATCACCTTCGACATTGTGGCCTTCTCTAAAGAGAAGTTCCAACTCATCCACGTGGAGATCGAGGTAAAAGACATCAACGACCACTCTCCTCATTTCCCGCGTAATCAGACAAATCTGGAGATTTTGGAAAATGTCCCTCTTGGCTCAAGATTCCCCCTGCAGATTGCTCTGGACCAGGATGTGGGTGAAAATTACATCCAGAGCTTCAACATCTCCCCTAGTACTCATTTTGCCATCGAAGTGCGCGACAGGGAGGATGGAGTGAAGTTTGCTGAGCTCGTGCTTGTGCGCGAGCTGGACAGGGAGGTGGAGGACTCGTACACGATCGAAGTTACTGCAACTGACGGAGGAGTGCTTGCAAAGTCTGGCTCAATGCTTGTTTACATCAAAGTGCTGGACTTTAATGACAACAGCCCCACGTTTGAGCACAGCTCACTGAAAGTGGAGCTGAATGAAGATTCTCCAGTGGGTCACCGAGTTCTCAAAGTGCACGCTTTTGACCCGGATGACGGAGAAAACGGTGAGGTCATTTACGCATTTGCTGACGGTGTATCACAAGAAGTTGCACGTGTTTTCTACATCGACCCTTACTCCGGTGATGTGACCTTGAAGGCTCTTGTTGATTTTGAGAAAAGAAGATCATACGAGCTGAGCATCAAAGCCTCAGATTTGGGCGCTAACTCTGTGCCATCCAGCTGTAAAGTTGTGATAGATATCGTGGATGTGAATGACAATGCGCCTGAAATCAGCATCAAACCCATGACTTCCAGCAGTGATGGGGTCGCCTACATCACAGAGGCTGCAGCTTCGGACAGTTTTGTTGCTCTGATCAGCACCTCGGACAGAGACTCCGGCTCCAACGGGTACGTGCGCATCAGCCTGCTCGGGCACGAGCACTTCACCCTCCAACAAGCATATGGAGACTCTTTTATGATCATCACCAGCACCACGTTAGACAGAGAGAAGATTCCAGAGTATAACCTGACTGTGGTGGCAGAAGATGTGGGAAGCCCGCCCTTCAAAACTGTCAGACAGTACACCATCCGGGTAACAGATGAGAATGACAACCCTCCTCTCTTCAGTAAGTCTTTTTATGAAGTGTCAGTCATGGAGAATAATATTCCAGGTTCATATGTAACCACTGTTGTTGCACGAGATCCAGATGTGGGAAAGAATGCCAAAGTCTCCTACACGCTGATCGACTCAGAGGTGCAAGGTGGATCCATGCTGTCCACCTATGTTTCAGTGGACTCTCTCTCAGGCTCTCTGTACACTTTGAGGTCTTTTGATTTTGAGACTCTTCAGCAGATCGAGCTGGTCATCCAAGCTGAGGACCGAGGCTCCCCCGCCCTTTCAAGCATTTCAACAATCAGGATCAAAGTGGTGGATCTGAATGACAACTTCCCATACTTCACCTTCCCTGTCCTTGTGAATGACACTGCCGACATCCCTCTCCATTTCAACGCCCCTGCTGGCTTTCTGGCCCTAAGAGTCTCTGCAGAAGACAAGGACGAGGGAATGAACGGCAAGCTCTCCTACCAAATTGTCCAAGGTGACCCCAAGCTTTTCACAATAAACAAAGACACGGGAGAAATTGCTCTAAAACAACGGTTGACAGCTGAAATTGGAGATGTGCTGGAAATTAAAATCACTGTGAGTGACAATGCCAGGTCCCCGCTCTCTAGCAGTGCCACTATTCAGTTTGTCGTCTCAGAGACGGAGCCGTCCGAAGACCAAGTCGTCATTGTGCTGAGGTCAAGCGATGAAGACGGCCCCAGCTTGGACGGCTCGATAATTGTTATTATTATGCTCAGCGGGGGGTGTGCTTTGTTGCTGATTGCAATAGTGATTGTTGTTGTCACATGTAAACTCAGTCGAGGAGGAAGAAAGCAGGGCTCCAAGAGAGAGGTGTGCCACAGCTTGTTTGACAGAAGACCCTTACCCATGCTGGGCCTGACAGAACCCAACATCTACACCGGCCAGAGAGGCTTCTTCCACGAGAGGACCTCTTCTTCTCTGGATGAATCCTGCATGTACGAGGAGAGGAGTGGGGACTTGGAGACAAAGGTGAGGCAGCTACTCAAGTTTTATTTTCATCTTTTATTTCATATGCATACCATGTTTTCCTCCTAGTGAAGCCTTGATCTATGTGCCAAAAATGGAAACTAAGCTCTTTCGCTGTCATTCTGTTTGTTCTCTTTAGATGTTCCTGCCCTCCAAGCATTTCCAGCCGGCTTCTGTGTGGCAAGGTGACAAATACTGCTTGCAAGTGAGGTAAGACAACTAAACAGGATTTATTTCCTCAGATAGGGCCTGCTTTATTCACAGTCAAATCTCGCTGAGGGTACTTAACATGCATCCTGCATACATTTTGTTGCTTGTGGCGTTCCTGTGGAATGAGGTTAGATGGGGTGGATAGAGGAAGGCCTTGTATGTGGGAAAAAAATATCAATAATCAAGCTAATGTGGTGCACTGGTGGCTCATACTGTATCTGTTAATTGTATTTGCAGCAGCATTGGCAACACGGACCAGCTGAGCGTGAAGGATAGTGGCAAAGGGGACAGTGACTTTAACGACAGTGACTCTGATATCAGCGGAGACGGAGGCCGGAAGAACTTCAGCACATTCCAGCCAAGGCTAAAAAGTAAGTTTTATGCTTAAAGTTTGACATATGAATTAACATAAATATTCACCATGGATGACATCAATGATAAATGATGTTAAAGCAATATCAGCATCCTCAATTTCTCATCCTTATTTTTCCAATCTCTTTCACTTTACTTCAGGTTTATCCAGCGCATCTAATAGCTTGTCTGGGGATTGCCAAGGCACCTACAGTGCAGTACAACCGCAGAGTTTCAGAATCCCCAGGGAAAATGCATACACAATTGGCTTCTCTCCAGTGCCTGTCTTCAACAGTCCTCATGGCTATCCCCTCTCTTGGAAGGACTCCGGCTACGGCACAAATCGCCCAAAATCAAGGAGCAGCATGCAAAGCTTCTCCAGGACAGGGACTCTTCCTTCCTACTTCCCTCCTCAGCAGCATCAGTGTGAGGCTGCAGTCGGAGGACCTGAAGTTCAGAGGGAGAGTCCAAGTTTTGTAACAGTTGCTACAGCATTAGAGGTTGCAACTATCTTTTAAAAACTGTTTCAATAAGATGTACAGGAAGATGTAAAAATGTGTAAAAACTTGCTTCGGATAACAGGGGTGTACATATTTGATTTTGTTATTCTAGAATATATAATGTTTATTCATGTCCTTTTATTTCATTTACTTGTATTCTATGACGCACAAAAGATTCTTTTTCAAATAAAAGTGCTTTGAAATCATGAAAAATGCATTATTATTCAACCTTTTTCTGTAATGCAATGATCTGACTAGATTAATGCAATCAGACAGTATGTCAATTTAATTGAATAATACTGGATTTAAAAAAAAAGATTAAATATCATTCCCCTTGGCAGTTACAAACTCCAGGCTGAATTTGTAAACATGCAGAACTCTTACCCCCAGTTTGAATCTACATGATCAAGGCTCCAGTCAGTGATGATCAGATGTAAAATCTCAAGCTGCTTCATTACCTGGGAGACTAGCTTTGAAGACTCCTGGTAGCTCGCTGGAGTTTTCGTGCATGCTAATGAAAGGAGTAGAGCTGGTAGTCAAGTGGAAAATAAAGTATAAACCATTATTTCTACAAAATCATGCTGGCTGCTGTCACACCTGCCTCGGCTCCTCTAAATAATTTACATCACTGTACACAGAGCCACACTGTTGTTTGACAAATTCCTGACTGTCATTAGTGTCTATGAGGGAGCTCTTGTTTATAAAACTTCAATTGCCAAGAGAAATAAGACAAAATATGCACAGGATGAAATGAAGTTTCCTCATGTACCTCTTCCCCTGAACAATGCTGCCTAGCTTCAACAGTCATATTTACTGAACTGGTGTCTATTATTAACTTTGATTCAACCATCCTATGTAGGGCAAGTGCACACTGTCTCTGGCCCAAAATAATTTATCGATGAAACATTGACAAGTATAAATCCATAACCAACAGTGACAAACATCCGCCTGAACACTTGACTGTTAAGCTAAAGCATATAGAGCAGCAATATTTTCTTACTTTCATTTCCCCCAAACACATCAGAAATTTGATTCCATATGAAAGTTAATTTAATCTTATATATGCAAGAAAAATCATGTAAATACATCATGATAGAGAGTATGTGTTTCATCAAAGGTTTCAGCTATACAGGCCTGATATTACCTTTGTTTTTCTTCCTTATTTTGGAATATGCTCTTAAGTTTAGTGAGAGAAAGGCCAATCCGAAAATATACTTGTTAAACAATTTAAAATACCTGCTGATTTTCATGTGCCCCTGCATGTTTTCCACAGTATTCAGTCCTCATTATTTTTAAGGTCAATTTAAATGGGCTGCTGATGAATGAAAGCAATGAGACAAGACACAAGGGTTAGTTACAAACTACATAATAGCTATCTGAGGGCCAGTCCTGAAGAGAAAATAAATAGTTTCCCAAACTGCTGCCAAGGATGAGCTATCAGTGAAAAGTGATGGCAGACTGAGACATTATTTCTTTATTTCTTTCTGTTCATTTGCAGCAAAAGGGGTCTGAGAGCAGTGCTCATTTGCATAAGCATAAATACCTGCTTCTTTGGCTTTTGATAGCTGTGATAAAAGCTGGAATAGAGTGGATTAGATGCCTTTTAACATAACTGTAAAGCACTAAATCGAGTTCTCACACGTTGCAACAATATGCCTCGTGAATAGAGGAAAATGTTCAAAAACGACATTCTCTATTTGAGGAGTCCGAATAACTTTTTTAATTTTTTTTATTTAATACCTCTATTCTGCAAAGTCACTCCAGTTTGGAAATTACAAAGGTAATAACTTTATTTTAGGCAGAGTCCATGGAGGATTCAAGGCCATGCGGTGCAAAAGGCAAGCAATAAAAAGGAAGGTCATATTTGCGCCCCTGGTGATGTGCATTGGTCTGACAGATAGCCAATTGTACACAGAGGGAGAATGCATTTATCAATCAATACAATATGAATCTCTTCATTGGGGATTTATATGCTCCTTGTAGGTCGAATACTTGTGCATTGACCTGGCAATTTGTGCCACAGAGTATGTTCATCTGCAGAGTTTGAAATGTTTGTCCATTGGCTGGATGGCTCTGTTTTCACTCAAATCCAAATGGACGTCACATTAACGTCCTGCAGAAGCTCTCAAAGCACATTTCAAATCTCCCGAGGTAATAGAAAATTAGTGTTTTTAGAGCCACTTTTTAGCTCATCAGTAGTCCACTGACAAATGTGTCAGATTTACACACGTCACTTTCTAGCCTCCGCATCTGCTGGTGTTTGGTTTATTTTTGACAAATGGCTGGCTGTATGACTGTGATTATGTTGTTATGGCCTCTTAGCATCTCATCTTTAAGACACAAGTCCCCCAGTCTACCCAGTGTGTTAGAGATGGAGCCTTTCTCAATCGATGTCATTTGGTGCTTCAGGCCTGTCCCACAATGCAATGTTTTTTGTACTTGCACCTCATCTTCATCTTTGTCTCAACTGCCAAGTGTGGTTATTGACTTTTGGATGCTTTGAATTGTGGGGCTGGTGTGTGAAAAAATAAACACCATTTGTTCTGCACTTGACAGATTGTCTAGAAGGAGAAGCAGTGTCTGTGTTCATTTACCATTAAGATGTTGTCTGCTTCATTTACAATGTGTTCTGTCCAGGCAAGTTCACTCGCACGTCAATGTCTGATATTTAAGGAATGTTAAAAAAATGAGACATTTGGTAGGGAAAAGGCAACATTTGTACTAAATTATGGGATGTTATCATTTGGGTCTCTGTCATGACTTTGTAATTACTGTCAATCTGTGATTTCTTTTGTCTTGTGCAGCCTCAGTGTGAATATGAAATATGAAGATATTGTGAAAGAAAACATACAAACACACTGACAGACAGGGACCTTGTTTATTGTTCATGCTAGTAGAGAGGTAATTTGAAGGAACAGTCATATTGGGAAATATGCTTATTTGCTTCACTGCTGTAGGCAGATAATGATATAACTCTCATATTTTATACATTAAATATAAAGCAGTAGAGCTAGCAGCCAGTTAGCGTATCCTAAGACTGGAAGGAGAACGAAACAAACAGCAGCTAGCCTGTTGACTTTTCTCGTGTTGCCAAGCAACCAGCTGGTTCTACAGGAATACGTTCAGTTGTTGGCTCTTCAAGTATTTTTTAATCCAACCAAAGGGGTAAAACGCAATGAGAAATGGTATGCAAGTATGCGTGTTTTTTTTCTTTTTAACTCAACTTAGTAAAGCTAGCTGTCTCCCGCTGTTTTCATCTTTAGGTTTAGCTAACTTGCAATAGCACCGATTTAAAACGGACAGGTTTTGGAGTTTTAATCTTATTTCTTGGCAAGAAAGTGAATAGGCCTATATTTATTTCACCAAATTATTTATTTTCCTTCAAATAAACCCAACAAGGACATATTTGCGTCTCTTCGCTTGCTCACTCAATTTATTTGACACATTTTTGAGTCTTAAACTAGAGAACATTATTTTCTCACTCCTGCCAAATTATGCCATATGCCTATGATTGTATGAGGCTGTTCTAGTGGGAGTCTGGGCCCATGGATATGATAACAACCACAGAGCTGTCCACTGTATCAGACATGTCAAAGAGCAGCAATGTGTCAGCTGCTCTGCTGCTTATCCTGCATCTTCTAACTTGGAATTTAATTAATCCCAGTTATGAATTCACAAGTCAGAATAACATTGTTGTAGATTCTGTCTTTAATTCGGGCAATTAAAAACATACTGTATTTAGTTTTTAAGACCTAAAGTAGTGTAGCCACTTCATTATTTAAATAATGTTTTAACACCTCAATATGTATTACATTAAAGTGTGATATGATCTAGGCTACTTTGAATTGTGACTCAGAAGTTATGATTGCAAGACTTAACATGCAGCATGTCAGTCCACTCTGTTCTTAATCTGGAGTCATTTGAGCTATGAATAGACATTTAAAACACAAATGAAAGCCGCATAAAAAAGGCTTCATCTTTTTGGATTTCTCTAATAGTAAGCCTTGAAGCATATACGGATACCACTATGATTTAAATAACGAAATGAACGATGAGATTCTGTGTGACATTATCTCTAGACATCGTAAGATGTAAGATAAACTGAGCGATTTGATGTATTCACTGCTCTACTATCTCCTCTCTGTATCTCAGCCACATGCAGATAATGGAGAGGGAGAGAAGTAGTTAGACAAGATCAGAAGTCATTTCAAAGGATATTTTAACATATGATATAATGCAGAAGTCATCTGACCCATCCATCTGAACTGTTTTTGCACAGATATTGTATAAGTTATTTATTATTCATGTTTATGTTTACAGTCCCAGAAAAAGGCAGACATTCATTTATTGTATGGAATAGATTCTCCAGATGGTATAAAGACAGGCTTATTTGGTCTAACAGCAAACAAGTGTAAAATTATCCTAAAAGTAACAATTATTTGTGATACTTGTTTCTGTATAGAATATCTCTCATGTTGAGGACATAAAGTTACACAGACCGTGACTTATTATTAAAGAAAATATGACTTCACGATTGATCAGTATACCACATGTCTGTTTAATTTCAGTTTTTACACCACTAGGGGGAAACATGCAACCTCAAAAATGCCTGGCAACCTGAACATCATTTACACTTATGGGCCACTGTTATAAATACAGCAACCTGGTTCCAGTGTGATCAGAACAATGTTATTTAACAAAATAAAACAGTGTATATATCATGTATTGCTATTGTGATTGCTTCATTAGAAAAAAGATATTACTTCTAAGGCAGGGAGGTATAATTCATGAGCCACTGCAGCTGTATGCTATTACAAAATTTCAGTTTTTGATGGAGAGTCAGAGAAAGCCTGTGCTCAACCATAACATCATGTAATGTGTCAGTGCTTTACTCTCTCTGTTTGTCCCTGTTTACATACTTCATTCAAGGCTGACAGTGTTTTTTTTATGTTTCAGTCCAGGGCAATATCATCTGGATGTTTAAGGACATGTTGCATTCAAAGTCTGCTGAACAGAAAAAAAAGGTGAGTAGTACACTCTGAGGCTTGGGCACTCAAACCATCGAGTGTTCATTTTCAGCTGAAACGTATGAGTCATTCAATGCCATGAATCCCATACC